GGGATGGTCCAATAAGATATGTCATTTCTTGTCTAAGGAAAGTCGGGAGGCCACATTGAAGCGTGATGGTGCTTATCTAATCGACTAACACAAGGCATGATGATTCTTGTTTCAATAGCCTAATCGTGGATGATGGTTTTTAGAGTGGAGTTTGTATATGTGATCGATCGAAATTATTGGCGGATGAGTGAATCGTCCCTTTCGATCGCTCCAACTTCCGGTTGATCGTTGTTGATACCGAATTTGTGATACCTAGAATATAAGACATGTCTCGTTCGTATTACAATTGTTAAACTATTCGTAAAATAATAATAAGGATGGTGACATTTGTTAGATTTTCACTTATTTGTTGTCCCACATTGGATATGTACCAAAGATGTGTGGAATTTATTTAGTATAAATAGGTCTTTTGTCGTTGGGTTACTGTTGCATCTTATTATATTCTCTCATATCTTAGAAGAAAATCCTTAATTAAAGAAGTCCTAATTTGTGGGTTATTTAACCTTAGTTGTATTTTGTTAGTGAGTTTAATAAATTTCGGTTGGCGGTGCCTGGAGACGTAGACAATATTTGTCGAACTCTGTTATCAATTTTTGTGTTCTTTTTCTTTTTCGTCTTTTATTTATTTGTGATGACTTATTTTCGTTAGCAGTAGTGCTTGTCATATTTGTTGTAGTTGTATTTTTGCCCGCTACGATTGTTGTCCTACCCCAAAGTGGTATCAGAGCCAAAGGCCCAGTCCCATTCGGAGAGGCGAACACTGCATTTGGGTTCGAGATTTCCAAAGAGGTCAAAGGCGCATCATCCTATGCATTCATTCCGGCAAAGACAGTGATGCCGAACGTGTCAGACACCCGGTAGAGATCTTCGATGGAAACGATCATTTCGGCATGTGGTAATACGAGGAGCTGGATTGTCTATTTCAGTAAAACGTCGACATTGCCACTGGAAGAATAACAACCGTTTAGCACGTGGAACAATCTATTTGTGTTTGTCGAGGAAGCAGAAGTAAGCTTTTGAAATAACTTTCTACTACTATCTCGAATGAAGTGTGTCTTGGTGAACTATGATTAAAATTTATCCGTAGGAAGAAAGGCTGGAGAAAGGCCCTAATGCCAACGCACATCTCTAACCACTTCACCTACTGAAGGTCGTGGAATTTATTCTTTTATTTAATTCCATAAGCACTTAGTATAAATTAATTAAGGAATTTTCCTAATATGTTTTTAATGTAACTAATTACCTATGCCACCAATGGAGATAAACTAATTACCATACACACTAATATGTTCTTACCGTAATTAATTATTCTTGCACATAAAATAATAATAAATTAATTATTTAAGCGTATGCATAATTAGAGGCTATAATATAGAAAAAATTTATGCAGTTATTAATAATTATCATAGAGTGTGTTATCATCCGACTCGGTAAAGCGTAATTAAGGACCCAAAATAGCACCATAAGCAAATTTGACTCGAATACCGATGTAACTTAGAGTCATCCCGTTTCGCACAATAAACCGGCACGACCCCAGAAGACCGAAGTGATCCTTTCCCGCCGAGGTCAATCCAAACCGAGGTCAACATGAACCGAGCTCGTCACCTCCTAAAGCAGGTGACAAGGCGCCTACACGCCCCTTGTCACAATCTACGAGATTTGTCATCATTCATATGGGGCCCACTGAGTCGGCCGCCCATCAAAAGTAGCTTTTCCTAAAAAATCGTACACGGATCCCAATGTATGTTTATAAAAGTTACTATAAATAGCTGATTAGGGAGACCGGTACGGGATTCGATTCCGGACCCAACATTTCTTACAATGCAACACGCAACAGCCCACACAGAGGCTTTTCACCTCGGTCCACCTCGGACCGGGGCCATTGTTGAGTCTTTGTCACATATTTTACGTCTAAATCACTCGAAATTATCACGTAAACTCCACGTTAAATCGTTGTTAAGAATCATACAACAACAGAGTGATAGGGAATAAGACAATCCATGTCCGGTTGGAACTGAGAGAACTGTAAACTACGAGAATTCAATCACAATTAAACATAGAAAAAGCATCACAATTCATAATTCAATAACATTAAAAAAATTGGTAGTTAATTGAATAAGACAAACCCTAATTATCTCACAATCCATAATTTTACCATTAGGCCTAATTGTATCCTTACCCTAATTCTATAATAATCATAATTTCAAAAGGAAGTTACAATTAAAAGAATGTAAGCAATTCAATTTTTTTTTTTTAAACCCTAATTTTGCCCAAAATATTAATTTCAAGATAAAACCATAAATTCAGAAGCATCTTTTCATTTGTTTGAAATCCTAGGTCAAAATCTATAATCATATTTAACAAATCATTAATCACTAGTTAATATATAACATTGAATTAAAAATTCGCAAACAAACAAATGTTCCCAGATCCCTATTATCAATGTTCGACTGCGAACATCGAGCAAGGTGTTTTAGATTTCGACTAGAACAAATAAATGAAATATAAAATTAGCATACATGTCCCTCATAGTCGCTACTATGGCACCACAATTTGTAAGTTCTTTCCCTTATTAGAATTCGACATTAATGGGCACACAATTTTGATTGTTTGAAAGAGAGATTTTTTTTTTTTTTTATCATGTCATTTAACATATATCATGTCAGCGAAAAATTTAGTCCATGTGAGATCAAACGCCAGAGACATTGACAAAAATGTCGCAGCCGACAGGGTTTGGGTTTGGGATGCAAACCTAAGACAAGACTATGTTATTTTTGTTAATTTTCGTAAGTTTAATTAAATTTACCAAACAGTGTAAGTTCATGATATTATCGACAATTAAACCTAAAATATATCCTAACACTTTGATTGAAGGAAAAATTAGTATTTATCAATATCTCTGATTTGTATTAAAATAAATAAATAAATAAAAATGCTATACCCGAGTCAATTTTTATGGCTAAAAGCACCTAGCTGGCATATTATGATGTTACTGTATATATTACATGAATACCAATATTGTTCCTTATTATAGACAACTTTAGCAAGTCAAAGAAAAGTGGAATATGAATTTCCACAGCACTCATCATTTAAATTACCCACATTTTGCTGTGCCTGTGCATCCCATGCGCTTCTTCAGTTTTATTTTATTTTTATTTTTTTTTTTCTAATTTAAGAAATATACGCTTTTTTTTAGTACAAAGAAGGAGGTCATAGGCCTAGACTAAAACACGGCGGGGATAAGAGACCCCTATAACATCATGCCCGAGCCACTCGCATAAAGTAGGCGGAGGAGAAGAAAGCTCATGGAATCCAATCGAAAAGGAAGACGCTAAGCTCGCTAAATTAACGCCTTTGATTTAAAATGAAAGCACAAATATGATTTCACATTACGGGTTTGACCCCTACTCAACCTCAATTGCTGCGTAACTTAGTCTCGTTTCATTTTAATTAGAACAAAGTCCACTGTTAATTTTGCATCACGACAGTGAATAATTAGGGGATGCTTGGATATAAAATTTTTAGATTTGTTTGGATTTTTGGTTTGTTTGGTTAATTTTGAAAAAGGTTAGATGATTAGTTTTTAGTAGGTATATTAAAGTAATATTTA